GTCCTCTGAAGATGCCAGCCACAGAGACTGGCGAAACGGTAGGAAGAACAACCTTCAGAACACGGCCAAAGAGCCCGAAAAAACCCTCAACAACCATTAGATCCCAGCTGTGAAAGCCTTCGAGAATACAAGGAGAGAGATGTTAGGAACTCACATCAAAAAACAAACATCAAACTTTTCTCCCCAATATTCAAACAAATATGTGAATCAAAACAGTTTTTTCCAAGGATGGCACTGATGTCTATGCAGGGCGGCCACTGATGAGCCACTTTATGTAAACATAGATTTTAAGATGAATATAATTAACCTGCTGGGCCTTCTACAACAGGAGTTTCCAAGAGATGTGTACTTCAACAATCTGCCTTGCAAATTAAGTTCAGATTTACCTTATAATGACCAATCACAAAACAAAGTGCACTAAATGCAAGAATAGACAAGGAAATTGGGCACTATGATAAACAGATGTTTATTACAACTAAATTGCTTCTGGATCACTCCTAGTGGTCCCAATACTCCCAGCAGTTATCTTTGAATATTAGAGGGTCCCTCCCCAATCCTAATGCTCCCAAAGGCTTCACCAGGGCTAAAGAGCGCCCTGGGGAGTTTCAGAAATTGAAAGGGGAAAAGAACGGCAGCTTTCATTTCATTTAAATTGATTATTTCCAATGCCTGGATATGATTTTGCAGCATAACTTCACAAACTGGGTTGTCTACTTACCAGATGGTTTTGATACCATTTCCATTGGCAAAAATATACTCTCTCCTATGCAAATATATACATGCTCATTATATTCTTTCAAGCATTGTTAACCATTTAAAATTAAATCAGCACTCACCCTTCCTAGCTCCTTATCTTCAAGCGCAAGGACACCAGTGCTCTCAGTAAATAGTTTCACTTTGACTATGGGTCGAGGATGAGTTGTGGTAAAATCACCTTGAGTTCCCCATCTGTAAGGGAAAAATTGTAACATTCAAATTCCAAGCATACTAACGGAAAGTGACAATTTCCCTGGGCCCTCTGTAAACAAATGCAACATTTGTACTTTCCTACAGATCAGATGCCTGGATTTGAAAACTCAGTTTTCAAGGTATGATAGAATCATAAAACAATTGAGTGGGAAGGAGTGTATAAGGTCATCGAGTCCATCCTCTTGCTCAATGCAGGAATCCAAGTCAAAGCAGATCTGACAGATGGGTGTCCAATTTTCTCTTGAATGCCTCCAGCACTGGAGCACTCATCACATCACAAGAAAACTGGTTCCTTTGTCATACTGCTCTAACAGGAAAATTTTCCTGATATTCAGCTGAAACCTGGCTCCTTGTAACTTGAGTCCATTATTACATGTTCTGCCTTCTGAGATGATTACAAACAGATCCCCTCCTCTGCATAACTACATTTCAAGTATGTGAAAAGTGCAATCATATCTCCCCTCAATCTTCTCTCAAGGCTAAACATGTCCAGTTCTTGCTGTCTTGGTTTCTAGTCCCCTGATAATCCTTGTTGCCCTCCTCTAAATTTGCTCCAGTTTGTCAGCATCCTTCTTAAAGTCAATGTCCAGGACTGGAGACAGTACTCTAGATCAGCACAGCTGGTGGTGAAGGCTTCTGGGAGTTGCAGTCTAAAAACACCTGAATAACCCAAGGTTAAGAACCACTGCTCTAGATGAGACCTAACCAGTACTGAACAGGGAGGAACTAATAATTCATGGGATTTAGAGACTATACTTCTGTTAATGCAACCTAAAACTGAATTTGCCTTTTTTGTAGCCACACTACACAGTTGGCTTGTATTCAGCTTGTGATTTACATTTCCAAGATCCTTCTCACTCATAGTATTACTAAGCCACGTATCTCCCATCTTGTAACTGTGCATTTGGGTTTTTTCCCTTGGTGTGGAAATCTGCACTTATTCCTGTTAAATTTCATTCTGTTGTTTTCAGCCCCATGCTGAAGCTCAAGGTGGGGGAGCTTTTATGATTTTCATACATTGATTTCATATTTAAAAACTGCCTAATGTGGCAGATGGCATAATGAAAGATAGATTATATTCGGAGAGTTTACAATATCAAATAAAAAGATTTATACAAATGGATGTTGGACAAGCTCTTATTTTTTCATTTAAGTAAACGGAGGAGATTAAGATTAATTATATCATCAATCCTGGTTCTCCAGCATCTTATACAAAGGTCTACTGCAATAGTATAAATGTATTGCTAACTTGCTTCCAGAGATAGTAAAACAAGCTAATTGTAAGAACAAGTAAGATGGCAGAGATAACATCAGGCATAATCATGGGGTAACCCAGTAGCAATAATTTGCATGAACTACAGAATTAAAAACACAATGGTATGGTATCAGAATTAAATGCTTAGTTCAGAACTAACACAGAATTAAAAACACAATGGCATCAGAATTAAATGCTTAGTTCAGAACTAAATGCAACAATTAAATATGTCAATGGCAACAAATATGTCAATGGCAACTGCTGCCACAGTGTCCCTCATAATTTTGTTACAATCCCAATTACATCCTGGAACATGGTGCATATCTCCACATTATCCATATGCAGAAGGCATCATTCAGCCCATAACAACAGCTTAGTGACCCTATGATGTTACTCCATCTATTACAAGCATGTCTTCAGCACAGAACACACTATACAATATTTCATGTGAGCCTCTAATATTTCTATAGGCTCTTTCAAGAATGTTGGAAATGTGATCAATATTGACTTCAATCCCAGACCTGCATTGCTACAGTTGATCAAATTTACATTCTGCCTTTAACAGTTTGAAAGGAAAACTCCAAGAACATCAGTGCAATCTCTCTGAAATACAATATCCTGGATCCAACTGCTAAAGGATATCCAGTAAACAATTGCTAAAAGGCAAACCAACACTTACACAAAGTCTATTGAGTCCATTGATCTACTCTGTTTTGGACTACCATCCACATTCTGGCCAATGAATGTCAATAGGTCAAAGAAGTGCCACATGGTCTTTTCCAAAGCAACTGGTGGCAGACAAAAATCAGGAGAAAGGCAGTGCCTGGAAGATGGCACCAGCAGCCCAATGGGAATTTTCTTCAGCCACAAGCAGAGTGAAAAGTACTGCTGATTTTTAGGGAAGCTCTGGCACCATTTTCCTGGTACTATTCATCTAACAGCTTTCTGTCACATGACGGCAACTCAGTGTTTGCAACTTTCAGTAAGGCTGGACCTTAAGTAGGGCTGACTTCAGTGTCAGGAAAAATAGAAAATGTATAGTCATCTAGTTCAGTGGTTCTTAACCTTTTTGTAGAATGTGTAGTCATCTAGTTTACTACTGCATTTTTACCACCAGGCATGAGAGGAGACACTTGTGGGATTTTGCTGCCTCAGGTGCTTGGTAACTTGGCCAGCCTTGAGTACACTGCATTTTCACCACCAGGCATGAGAGGAGACACTTGTGGGATTTTGCTGCCTCAGGTGCTTGGTAACTTGGCCAGCCTTGAGTACTATAAAGTTTGACTAGGTAAGAGAACCATCATTTACTGCTCTGCTGCGGGCAGCACAACTCTCTTGAGTCCCAGTATCACAAGCAACCTATCCTTATCCATTTGGAGAAAGAAACCGACGGGTTATAATAAGATAGCTGTCAGGATCGCAACTAACCGTTACCTAGCCAAGGTAAAGGCTGCTACACGATCTCACTTTGCTGACTGAATAAGCGAAGCTTCCAACCCGCAGGCGGAACTTTTCCGTATAGTTCACGATCTATCCGGAATTGGTCTGGGTGAAGGGCCTCCCTCTAGCATCTCACCTGACCAATTTGCAGCATTTTTAAAATCCAAAGTGGAGGCCATCCACCGTGACCTTTATCCTTTTTAAAAATACAATGGATCGAGCAGAGATGTCCAGCCTTGCCCGTAATTCTCGACTCTTTTCAGCCTGTGACACCGGATTTGGTGGACAAGGTGCTTGATTGCTGTCGGGCCACCACCTCTTCTCTCGACCCTTGCCCGGCCTGGCTAATCAAAGCAGCCAGGCCCATAACAACCGAATGGGCCACCACAATAATTAATGGGTCATTTCAGGAGGGCAAGGTCCCCCTTGCCCTCAAGGAGACACTCATTAGGCCCATTAGGAAGAAACCAAATTTGGCGACGGACGACATTGGCAATTATAGGCCCGTCGCCAATGTTTCTTTCCTTAGCAAAGTG